GCCGAGGCAGTGGCTCGCTGCCAGAGGGGGATGTAAACACCAGCCTTAAACAGCGTCCCGACCAAAAGCAGGACTTCGGCTCTGCGTGTGGGAGCTGGAGGAGCTGCCTCCCTTCACCTCGGTGGGACGATGATCCATCGCGTTCAACAAGGCTTAAAGCAAAAACCTTGTAGCAAATGGGGTTTTTTGCTTCGTCCTGTTGTACAGATCGATGAAGGTAATCCCTCAGCAAACGTAAAAGCATCAGCCGAGAGCACGGGGACGTTTCATTTCTTGGCTGATTCTAAAACGCTGACGTGGAAGTTTCTAAATGCCATTTTTAATAATGTGAAGCTTGAATGGTTTCAGTCTCGCATTCAGCCAGAGGAAAAGCTCCGTTGGGTTGAAACCTAAATGGCGATGTTTGGGAATAGCGAGTGGCCTTCGGTGTTCTCCGTCACAGGTTCAGCGCGGCCCCTTGGGCGTCGCCAACAGATCACTGTGCGCTGCGAAATTTCACTTCTTGTTCAATTCTTAAGGTTTCCTTCCTTACGCTTCCAAACCTTGTGCCTGGCTTTAGGAAAGAGCGGGCCTTTTGCTCTCCGTTCCCATTCCCGTGGCGCTAAAGGCTTGTTACAGCCCGCGCTGCCCCACGCTGTGGTTTGGGAGGTTCCCTCCTGGACCCTACCGCCGTGCCGCAGCGCACACAGCTGATTTCCTACATGCCAGCCCTGCAGAGCCTGAGCACGGTCTCCAGGGGCGTCGGAGCGTCGGTATTTTACCCTGACATTATTCAAACCAATACTAAGCCTATCGGTCCTTTCGGCGATAAGGCACTTGGCTAATGTTCTGAATCCGTAGGTGAAATTCGGTGGGCGTAATCCGCATTCCTCGTGCCCGGCCTCCCGCCTGACGTGCCCTGAGCAGGTTTGCAGTCCCGAGAGCCCCTTCAGCACCCGCCGTGCCCCGCCGTCGCTGCCTGCCGACCCGCCTGCCCTCCTGGGGGAAGGGGTGTTTGCTGCCGCTGAGGAGTGAGTCTGGCTATTTCTGCTAAAAATCCTGATTTCTTACCAGCTCTTGGTCCCCTGTCTTCCCTGACCATGTTCATTGGAAGGAGCTAGCTGTGCACGTGGCCTTACGATGGCTTCTGTGGCTCTGTGAGCCGTAGGCTGGCTCGGATGAGCCGTGGGCGAGGGCTGGTGCCAGCGCCGCGATGCCCCGTGGGGACCCCAGCCGTGGTTTAGCAAGCGGCGGT